TTACAGATACAACGCAAAACACACACACACACACACACACACACACACACAGTGGGGAACAGAGGACTACTTAGAGAAAATGTATAGCCCCGACTATATTAGAAAACAAACTGAAATTAGCTAAGCATACATCTCAAGAATTCAGAATGAGCAAATAAACCCAAAGAAACAAAAGGAAAAGGCCAGTAAGGAAGACCTCTTGCAGAGCTAAGCCAAATAAAATAAAATACACAGAATATAAACATATGTTTGTTGATTTCACCTGGCCTCACCCCTTGTCCCATTTTTTCTGGTAATAGAACCTCTCTATTCCATGGGAAACACATCATAAGAATCAACTGTAGCTCATCCTGCCCCACCCTAGTCCTCCACACCCTCCCACTCCAGCCCTGGCCGTAGTGACTGCTCAAGCACAGCAAGTAACCTGAGCAAGACTGACTGTCTTCACTGAAATATAGGGATCCTCAAGAAGGGGCTCTGTCTACAAGGACTGTGTATAATCTCAAGCTTCCTATAGAAAACATCTGTAGGAGGGAAAAAGATTGATCAGCTGCGAGCTGAGATGACAGAGACAAATGAGGAGAGAGCCTGAGGAATCATGCTGGCACGGGCTCAGCCCTGTGTGAAGCGCGCAACTCAGAGACCTCAGGTCAATGAGCCTTATTTACTTCTCCTAACTTGAGTTCAATTTTGTCATTTATAAGAAAGTCCCATATGGGTCAGGTATGGTGGCTCGCACCTGTAATCCCAGCACTTTGAGAGGCCAGGGCAGGAGCCTCACTTGAGCCCAGGTATTTGACACCAGCCTGGGCAACATAGGGAGATCCTATCTCTACTTTAAAAAAAAAAAAAAAAAAAATTAGCCGGGTGTGGTGGCAGGCACCTGTGATCTCAGCTACTCAAGAGGCTGAGGCAGGAGAGTCACTTGAACCTGGGGGGGCGGAGGCTACAGTGAGACGATACAGCACCACTGCACTCCAGCCTGGGCAACAGAGCAAGACACGGCTTCAAAAATAAAACAAAAACAAATGAACAAAAAAAGCAAGTTCCAAATAATACAAATATTATGCATGACCTTTGGCCCACAAAATTTAAATACATATGAAATATGATCCTAGAATGATACAAATTATCAAAATTGACTCAAAGATAGAAAACTTTAGACAGAACACAACTGAATAAACTAAAAGGCAGTCAAAGATCAATGCCTCAAAAAGGTACCCAGCACAGATGTTTTTGTAAACATTCTATGCCTATTTTTTTTTAATTCCTTAATTTCTTTTCCCTTGAAAGACTCAGACAAATGCCTGTTTTATAAACTATCCAAGCCTGAAGAAAAAGACATCTTCAAAGCCATTTGCAAGGCTAGCATAAAGCTAATATCAAAATAGAACAGGAAGTTTTTTTTTTTTTTTTGTTTTTTTTTTTTGAGACGGAGTCTTGCTCTGTCACCCAGGCTGGAGTGCAATGGGGAATCTCAACTCACCAAAACCACTGCCTCCCAGGATCAAGTGATTCTCCTGTCTCAGCCGCCCAAGTATCTGGGATTACAAGCACACGCGACCACACCCAGCTAATTTTTGTATTTTTAGTAGAGACGGCGTTTCATCATATTGGTCAGGCTGGTCTTGAACTCCTGACCTCAGGTGATCTGCTCACCTCGGCCTCCCAAAGTGCTGGGATTACAGGCATGACCCATCATGCCCGGCCAGGAAGGTCATTAAAAAAAAAAAAAAAAAAAAAACGAGGGGATTGGCCCAAGGAGAGAGATAAAACTCCTAATAAATAATATACTGTAAAACTAAGCAAGGTCTATATCAGAATGCAAGGTGTGTTCAATGTTAGGAAAGCTATTAATATAACTCAGTACAATAATAAAACAAAATCTGTTGATTTTTTCCATAGATGTCAATATTCATCACTGTTAAACAAAAGGGAAGGAAAAAAAAAAAAAACCCAGTAAGCTAGAACAGAAGGAAACATCTTCAGCCTAATGAAGATCATCTACTGTAAGCCCAGAGCAAGTGCCCTACTTCAGGATGCAACGTGAGAACCGTTCCCACTGAAAAAGGGGCAATCAAGGGTGCTATGCAGCACCACGCTGGACATCCTGGCTTCTGAGATTTACAAGAAATAGACATGAGTGTAGAGGAGACAAAGCTGCCACTAGTGGGATATGATTTGCTATCTAGAAAGCGGCGAGATCAACTAAGAACTCTGAGCATTCGACAAGGTGAGCGACACAAAGATGGACAAGCAGATGGAAGCCAGCGACCAGGGCAAGATGATTTCCACAGATCCCTTCTCTACCAGTAATGAGGACTTTCATAAACTCCTAAGACTAAACCAAACTGGAAATAAAGGCCTATTTGAAGATCACACCACCTTACCAAAGAAAATACCTCATTTCTAGATAGGAAGATTAAAACCTGTTAATTTTTCTACAATATTTATTTTAAAAAATTAAAATAGGTGGGGGGAATTGGCTCATACCTGCAATCCTAGCACTTTGGGAGGCTGAGGTGGGAGGATCACTTGAGATAAGGACTTCAAGACTAGCCTGACCAACATGGAGAAACCCCGTCTCTACTAAAAACACAAAATTAGCTGGGTGTGGTGGTGCGTGCCTGTAATCCCAGCTACTCGGGAGGCTGAGGCAGGAGAACTGCTTGAACCCGGGAGGCGGAGGTTGCAGTGAGCCAAGATCATGCCATTGCACTCCAGCCTGGCAACAAGAGCGAAAGGCCATCTCAAACATAAATAACAATTAAAAAAATAAAAAATAAACTTTTAAGATACCACTTCTTAACTAGGCATAGTGGTTCACACCTGGAATCCCAGCCCTTTGGGAGGCCAAGGTGGGAGGATGGCTTGCCCAGGAGTTTGAGATCAGCCTGAGCAACCTAAGACTGTCTCAAAAAATAAAAATAAATAAAAATAACAAAAAGTAGCTGGACGTGGTGGTGCACACCTGTGGTCCCAACTACTCAATAAGCTGAGGTAGAGGGATCACTTGACCCCAGGAAGTGGAGGCTACAATGAGCCGTGATTGCACTACTGTGCTCCAGCCTGGGCGACAGGAGTGAAACCCTGTCTCAAAAAAATAAATTAAATGTTGAAACCCTGTCTCTACTAAAATTACAAAAATTAGCCAGGAATAGTGGCAAGCACCTGTAATTTCAGCTACTTGGGAGACTGAGGCAGAAGAACTGCTTGAAACTGGGAGGCAGAGGTTGCAGTGTGCTGAGATTGCACCACTGCAATCTGGGCAACAAAACGAGACTGTCTCAAAAGAAAAAAAAAAAAAAGGCTGGACATGGTGGCTCACTCCTGTAATCCCAGCACTTTGGGAGGCTGAGGCAGGCAGATCACAAGGTCAGGAGTTCGAGACCAGCCTGACCAACATGTTGAAACACTATCTCTACCAAAAATACAAAAAAAATAGCTGGGTGTGGTGTTGCACACCTGTAATCCCAGCTACTCAGGAGGCCAAGACAGGAGAATAGCTTGAACCTGGGAGGCAGAGATAGCAGTGAGCTGAGATCACGCCACTGCACTCCAGCTTGGGCAACAAGAGCAAAACTCCGTCTCAAAAAAAAAAAAAAAAAAAAAAAGGCAGCACGGACACATAGATCAATAGGACAGATTAGAAATTCCCAAAAAGATCCACATATGTGCAGAAATTTATGTTTTAAAAGATTATTTCCCGTGAGCAAAGAATGAACAATTCAATAAATATTAGAGACAACTGGCTTTCCCTTTAGGAAACGTTAGCTTGCTACCTCTCAGAAAAAACAAACCTCAGATGAATTAAAGATAGATAAGCACACATACATATCTTTAACCCATCTTATTTTTTGTATATACATCTACATACACTTTGTACCTGTGCATTCATACATACATATATACAAATGTATATATGTTTAAAGCCACACTGTAAGAGGAAGTGAATGAGAAACAGATAAATGAACTGGTAGCTGGAGAAGATGTGGGTATCAGCACAAGTTTTTACAGTAATTTCAGAAATGGGAGATTCTACAGCACAACTCGACACTAACACATCACATTCATAACACATCATATCCGGTAGACAGGACAACCAAAAACAAAACAACAACAAAAAGCAAACAAATCAAACGCCCAGACAGAACAAAATCCAACAACACAAAAACACAACCAAAGTCTTTAAGAACACAAAAGAGGCCAGGTGGCTCACGCCTGTAATCCTAGCACTTTGGGAGGCCAAGGTGGGCGGATCACGAGGTCAAGAGATTGAGACCATCCTGGCCAACATGGTGAAACCCCGTCTGAACTAAAAATACAAAAATTAGCCAGGTGTGGCGGCACGCGCCTGTTGTCCCAGGTACTTGGGAGGCTAGGCAGAAGAATCACTTGAACCGAGGAGGCAGAGGTTGCAGTAAGCCAAGACTGCGCCACTGCACTCCAGCCTGGCAACAGGTCAAGACTCCGTCTCAAAAAAAAAAAAAAGCAGCAGATGGATGGACCATTCAAAACAAGGTTAAAGATAGAGAAATTTGCCAGCCAGCTTCTGGAGGTAACAGATGGTTAAGATTGGGAGAGATGAAGTTGCACATGGGGATGGACAAGGTCACTGGAGGTGAGCACTCCTGTCCACAGGGTGACTAGAAAGGCAGGGAGAGCAGCAGGAGGCACCATGGGCTTGGTCCTGAGTGTCTCTGAGAGGCAGGTGGCGGTTAGGTCCTAGGGCTGTCATCCCGAATGCTTGAGTCAATATGAACTGCAAGCAGGTAATGAAGCAGGAGTGATCCCAGTTGTTAAACACAGGCAGGGAGGCCCAGTACAGGGCCTGGCATGTTCTAACTGTCCAGTAAGAAAGAACAAACCACCCAGGAAAGACTCCAGCCATTTCCCATTTCCTTCCATTCAGCCCACCCGCCCACAAGGTCTCTGCCAGGGAACAGTTTTTCACTTCACCACCAGTTTCCCTCCTCTGAGAGAGCCACTCAGACACCAGAACAAGTCACCACCCACCAGGGGTTTAATTTTCCTAATCAGAAGATCAGTTCAAAGAGGGGCCCTGCTTTGTCTCCATCCAGGGGTGAAGATCTGCAGAGCACCCTGGGAATGTCCAAGCCCAAAAGAGCCAGGGGCCAGTCCCTGAGCAAGTGGAAAAGTGGGTCCTGGGGTCTCAGGCCTCCTCCTCCTCTTCGCTTTCCTCCTCACTCTCATGATATTGTCTGCGGTTTGTGTTAACAAACAGGTCAGAATCATCTTCTGAGCTGGACTCCTCTCCTGATAACTGTGGCTCAGCTGGGAGTTCTGGTTGAGTTTGTCTGCACCGGGGAAAGAGAGCAGTTAGCCCAGCACCTTCTGGAAAAACCTGATCTATAATCAAGGCGTTCCAAAAAAGGAGGATCATCTGGCCCAGCAATCAGGGCCCTACAGCACCCTTTAAAGACTAAAAGAAGGAACGGAGGCAGGGCAAACAGTGGAAAAACGTGGCTAAAGAAACATGCTAAAGACTGACCCCACTCCCCAAACGTGTGCTACAGCCATTTATGTTAGTTAGGAATAATGATTCTACGACCACCAACACTTAACGGACCCATACCACATACCAGATACTACACTAAACAATTTTATAAGCCACCCACTCCTTTAATCCTCACGAAGCTCCCATTTTATACATAAGGGAAATAGAGTTGGAAAGAATTAAATAACATGCTTAAAGTCACTCAGCAAAGTCAGGATTTTAAGCAAGAGCATCTGACCTTCAAGCCATATTCGTAACTGTATTATAGCACTTATCTATGAGCTCTCAACAGATACCCTACGTAAGGAGGAAAGAAGGCTCTATTTTTCCCTCAAGGCATCAAAGCATGAACCCCCTATTTTCCATGTACCCCACCCCAAGGCTTGTTCCTCACCTGTTCATGTTGTTGTGTTTCTCCGCCACTTCAGAGAAGGCCTCAGGCCTATGCCAAGAGATGAGCCAGAGTCAGAGAAGACAAAGACATTTCTCACAAAAGAGCTGTTTCCAGCTGTCTCTGCCTGGGATGCCATGACCTTTCCTCCCCTATTTCCCAAGCTAGGAAGGCAATGCCTCCAGAAGCCAGAAAACCAATGATCAAGGGGACCACCCTACCAAAGCCCCTGCTTCTGCAGTGAGCGCATGTGGTCCTTGCAGAGCACAAAGGAGATCTCAGCCTTCACCTTTTCTCCCTCTTCAATGGGGTCAACAATGAGAAAGTCCCCTGTAGGTAAGAAGAGAAAAGGGAAAGTCAGGCCTGCTTGCAATAAGGAAAGCCAAAGCTATAGGAAATGGTTTTATCGCCTAGAGAGGGCTGCCTCTCTCACCTCTCTCTCTTTTTTTTTTTTTTTTCTTTTTTGAGACAGGGTTTTGCTCTTTTGCCCAGGCTGGAATGCAATAGCATGATCATAGCTGACTGCAGCCTCCAACTCCCAGGCTCAAGTGATTCTCGGGCCTCAGCCTCCTGGGTAGCTGGGATCACAGACACGTGCCCAGCTAATTTATTTTTTTGTAGAGACAAGGTCTCATTATGCTGCCCAGGCTCAAGCGATCCTCCCACCTCAGCCTCTTAAAGTGCTTGGATTACAGGAGTGATCCTCTCACCTCTCTTGATCCAGATGTTCTTGCGGTATTTGGAGGGCATGCTCACAAGGAAGCGCTGCCCTTGGGCCGTCTCCACCTCATGCAGATTGTTCCCTGGAGTCCTGAGTACCTGGTTCAGGAAAGACCAAGAATCAGCCTCATCAGTCAGATCAAACACCCTCTCAACCACACGGCACCCTACCCCCTGCCCCAGGGGCCCTACAGGGGTTGGGGGAAGCAGAGCAGCTTGTGCCCAGAGCCACTCACCCGGACAATCTGCTGCCGGTCGGAGGGCACCATGTGCTCCCCCAGCACCTCCTTCACCACATGCTTCCTCTTGGTGGCCTGAGACATGCTGAAGTTGTCCCAGGGTGGTTAGGGACGCAGAGACTGTCAATTCCTCCTCCTGAGTTCCTTGGACGGCAGGCTCAGAACCCAGGACTGTTCTGAAGATTGGGGAGGAGCCTTTTACTGAGGAGTGACACAGTGTCTTGGTTAAGAACATGGGCTCTGAAGTCTTAACTGACTGGATTCAAATCCTACCTTGGTTTATTTCCTAACTATTCAACTTCTCTAGGTCCCAGAGAAAATAACAGCTAACTCAGCATTGTTGCAGAATGGGGCAATACAGTGCATGTTATATAAAAGTAACTCCTACAGTCATAACTACTGGTATAATATAAAACTATACACACGCTCCAGAGAAATCATCCTGGCAACCTCTCTGGAAGGCGTTTGAGATAAATCGCATCTTTCTCAACACGCTTGTAGACCCCAAGTCTAGCAGAGTCACACAACAGAGAAGTTCGGTCTGGCAACACACTACAGCCGGAGACAAATTAGGTGGCCACCGCGATGGTCCAAGCCAAGAACTAGTTAATTAAAGGTGGAGGTGAGCGGGCTTGCCTGTGACATTTACATATTTGACTTTCATACTTAGAAGACGAGGGCCAGTACCCTTGAGACTGACGGTTTTCGAAGGAAACTCCGATATGTCATATCTAGTTGCCGTCCTCTTTCCTCCTCCCCGTCTATCCCGGAGAAAAGACCCTCGGAAAAAAACCCACACTTAAGTCTCTGGCCCTCGGCTCCCAGGAACGCTGCTGGAGCAACCCCGCTGTCCAGGCCGGACGCTGAGAGAGAATCGTCCACGACTCACTTGAAGACTGAGCCAAGAAAACACAAACTTGCCGGCGGCCGCGACAGTAGCGTGAGCTTGAAATCTGGTCTCCAATGTTTTCAGTTCCCACCAGTCCTACTGCTAAGAGGGTGACGTGAGTCTGAATCGGACCGCTCCGAAAACTGTACTTCCGGCGCTGTCCCGGAAGCCTATCGGCCACCCGTCCCTTCCCTTGTCCTGTCTTCCAACTCTTCCCCACGCCAGGTCGGTCAAGCTTAAGTCCTTGAGTTCCGGATCCGGGCAGCAGAGAGAGGAAGTCTTTCTCTGGAGGCCTGTCTCCCTCGAACTGCTCAAGTAGCGAGACCTTGCAAGGCAGCAGGGCTTTCCGCGAAGGACCGGAAAGGCGGGCCTACCACGGAGGCCGTTGAGGTCCGGGGCGTCTCAACTCTATAGCCCTAACTGGCTAGAAGTGCCCAACGTGGAGGGTTTTTTTTTTTTTTTTAAAGGAGGCTCTTGAGGCGACCCGGAAGCGGAAGTGGAAGAAAGTTCTAGTGGCTTGAGGTATCGGCGGGAGCGGCCGGGTGGCGGTAAGAACCGTTACGGGAACTGAAGCTGCTGGTGAGCGCCAGCCGCAGAGCAGGGCCCTGGCTAGAGGCCAGAGGGGTTGCGGGGAGAATGGGATGAGAGGCGCCGCAGGCGCTGGGGTGGGCCCTTGGGTAGAGCTTAGCCGCGCTGCGGGGAGGGGGCGGGGCGCGGCGCGTGTGAGCCGGCCCGCGGGAGGGGGGCGGGCCGCGGCGCCGCGCGATGGGGGCGGAGCTGGGGCGCGGCTTGAACTCCGTGGGCGGGGAGCGAGTGTGCGGAGCGCTTGATTTGCGCTTTGCTCTGTGGGCAGAGAGACTCTTTGGTTAGCTTTCCTTGCCAAGTGGCCGGTCCAGGCAGGGTCAGTGCCTTCTTGGCTCAGCCAAGGTCACAGAGGGAGTGACAGCTTCCGGGCAGCCCTGGTTACTGACTCTGGGAATCTTTCCACTTACCCGTTTGCGCCACCTGTTAGCCAGGATCGTTTTTCCTCTGGGGCAAGATCAAAATCCAGATCCTGCAGGGAGAAACTTCTCTTCAGAATAGTAGGGAAGTATCCTGGACCTCAGTTTTCTCCTTTTTTGATGAGGGACATCGAGCAAGCCACCATAACGCCTGGCTTAGCTTCCTCTTACTATGAGATTGCTAGTGAGCCCTTAGGAGTTCCAGGTCTTCAGCCCTAACCTTCCTTTTTTTGGGATTTCTAGATTAAGCCTGATCAAGATGACAACCTCCCAAAAGCACCGAGACTTCGTGGCAGAGCCCATGGGGGAAAAGCCAGTGGGGAGCCTGGCCGGGATTGGTGAAGTCCTGGGCAAGAAGCTGGAGGAAAGGGGCTTTGACAAGGTGTGGGGTGGCTGCGTGTACCTGGCACAGGCTGAGGGTGGGAGGGAGGTGAGTCCATCTGCTGTGGGGTGGATGGTGGAGTATAATCTGAAGAGACTGCCAGAACCCGGGCACCTGGTAGAGAGGAGATGGGGGCAAAACCCGCCCTGCTTCCTGAGCTTGTGTGCTCTGAATGGCACAGGAATGGCCGACTTGCTCTTATCCCTCACTGAACACTGAGCAGTACATCCCTTCCTTTTCTCTGTCTCTCAGGCCTATGTTGTCCTTGGCCAGTTTTTGGTGCTAAAGAAAGATGAAGACCTCTTCCGAGAATGGCTGAAGGACACTTGCGGCGCCAACGCCAAGCAGTCCCGGGACTGCTTTGGATGCCTTCGAGAGTGGTGCGACGCCTTCTTGTGATGCTCTCTGGGAAGCTCTCAGTCCCCAGCCCTCATCCAGAGTTTGCAGCCGAGTGGGGACTCCTCCCCTGTCCGCTACAAAGGAAAAGATTGCTATTGTCGTCCTCACCTCCGACGTACTCCAGGGTCTTTGGGAGTCTCCTCCGCTAACCATTTCAACTTTTTTGGATTCTCGCTCTTGCATGCCTCCCTCTTCCTTTTTCCCTTGCCGGTTCCCTGGTGACAGTTACTGGCTGTCCTGAATGGATTCCTGGCCCTGTCCCTCACCCCCACCCTCACTTTCAGTCCGTTTGATACCATTTGGCTCCTTTTTTGGCAGAACAGTCACTGTCGTTGTAAAGTTTTTTAGATCAATAAAGTCAGTGGCTTTCATGACTGGGCTTTGTGCATTGAAAAGCAAGTGGGCTGGGAGTTGCCTCTCCTCCAGGGACTGACCACGTCTCCCTCAGTCCTTATCAGTGCAGACCGAAACTGGCAGCTTCCCTTCCACTCCCAGAGGGCAGCCACCCTAGCCATGTAGGCCTCAGGCAGGTGACTTGGAGTGTCTCAATCCCCAAGTGATGTGGGAGAGAGTGTGGGTGGATCTTTTCCTGGGAGCCATCTGGACTGTGCTCCAGATGTCAGTTAAGTCAACAGCTGGGCTAGGCAGCACCTGGTGGAAAAGTCAGTGGGAGTCAGAGGTACCAGACAGAGGGTGGATTGGATGTGGATGTGAGTTCACCTACCAGTCATCGTATCTGCTCTCCTGGCCTCTGGCAAGGGTAGGCAGGGGGCTTGCCATCTTCCCTGATCTCTTAGGAAGGAGAAAGAGCACAGGCATCACAGCTGGAAGCATGTGAAGGGATTACACCTCAGTACATTTTAGTCCTTTCTATTTGTTTACTTTTAAAATTAGTAGAGACAGGACCCTGTTTTATTGCCTAGGCTGGTCTTAAGCAATCCTTAAGCCTCCCAAAGCTCTGACTGTAGATGTGAGCCAGTCTACCTGGCCAGCCTTATTATTTCTTGAGCACTTAGTATGAACCAGACTTGAAGTTAAAATCTTTGCAAATATTTTTTTCTTTTACAATAATAAATCATTATATTCTCTTTTACAGGTGAGGAAATTGAGACTCAGAGAGGCTGATTTGCCCATGGACTTGCTGTTGGGAAGTAGACAGACTGGAGCTCAAACTAGCTTGGAAACCCTTGAACCTGGCCATGTCTCCCTTGGTCATGTGGCTTATCCTCTCTGAGCCTCAGTTTCCCCACTTGGAAAATGAGGCGGTTGTAGGGAAAGGATATTTGTAGCAATATAAACAACAAAGGACGATTTCCAAAGCATATACAGAACTGTAATCCAGAAAAAGGTGGACTGGCCGGGTGCAGTGGCTCACACCTGTAATGGAGCACTTTGGGCAAGCGGATCACCTGAGGTCAGAAGTGTGAGAACAGCCTGACCAACGTGGTGAAACCCCATCTCTACTAAAAATACAAAAATTAGCCAGTATGGTGGTGGACACCTGTAATCCCAGCTACTCAGGAGGCTGAGACAGGAGGATCACTTGAACTCAGGAGGCAGGGTTTGCAGTGAGCCAAGATCACGCCATTGCACTCCAGCCTGGGCGACAAGAGTGAAACTCCGTCTCAAAAGAGACAGACACAACAGAAAAATGAGAAAGACCCAGGACAGCCTCAGAAGAAGGTTCCCTCCCAGTAAACAAGGACAGGAAAGGTGTTCCATATTGCTGGTAATCAGATGTTGCATGCCATTAGCACCCACCTGACTGGCAAACACTTAAGTTGGACAATACCAAGTATTAATGAGATAATGAAGAAACAGGAACTGATACCCAGCTGGTGGGAGTATAAATTGGTCTAAACAGTTTGGGAAGACAGTTGGGTGTTATTTAGTAAAACCGACACACCCTGTGACCAAGCAGTTCCGCTCTCAGGACTGTGCCTTGAAGAAATCCCCGAACACCTGCACCAGGACCTAGATGAGTTCACAGCTGCATTGTTGGGAGCAACACTAGTGCTGTCAATACTTGAGTAAATAGGCATTCATGCCTAAGGACACTGCACGGAGGTGAAAATGAACAAATGGTAGCTGTGTACAACACAGGAATCTCAACAGCAAATGAAGCACATCAGATTCTTAGGAATTCCTACGTAGATGGTAAAACTAGAAAGCAAAGGAAATGATTATTGTAAATAGTAAAGGAAAAAAGTCTACAGCGACTATCTTTGGGGGAGGGTATGGAGGAGCTTGAGGGTAGGCTTGGCACTTTCTGACCTGTCGGGTGGTAGTACAGGCATTGACTGAATGTGGATGTTCTGCGCCCTGTTTTGTGTGTTAGTTACATCTCAGAACAGTAGGAAGATAAAAGGAAAACCAAAAATAAAGACCTGAACCTAGAACGATTGCGTGATAGGTCAGAAACTAAGTTGTTATTTGTAGGGATGAGAGTTTCATGCAAGGCTGGGGCTGGGAAGTCAAAGTGGCCCATCCTGAAGGGGACACCAGGTGGCTGCAGTAGGGCCCAGCTTGTGCTTCAGGCTGCTTTCTGGGAGGGTGCTGGTCTGAAGCTCGGCTGAGGTGATCACAAGGGCTCTCTCTGGAGTTTCAGACTGTTTCTTTTTCTTTTTCTTTTTTTTGAGACGGAGTCTTGCTGTTGCCAGGCTGGACTGCAGTGGTGCGATCTCAGCTCACTGCAACCTCTACCCACTGCAACCTCCACCTCCCAGGTTAAAGCGATTCTCTTGTATCAGCCTCCTGAGTAGCTGGGAATACAGGTGCATGCCACCATGCCCAGCTAATTTTATTTTTTTTTATTTCTGGTAGACAGGGGTTTCACTGTGTTGGCCAGGATGGTCTCCATCTCTTGACCTCATGAGCCACCTGCCTCGGCCCCCAAAAGTGCTGGGATTACAGGTGTGAGACACTGCCCAATCCAGACTGTTTCTGATGTCTTCCCGGATAAGTCCCCTCAGCCTTGATCCTTGTGCTGTGATGCTGTCGCAGGCCTGGCGTGCTTAGGTGGGGGCTTTGCAGGGCCCTGGCCTCGCCACACTTGCCCTGATGCTGCCAGATTGTTGCTGGTGCTCTGTGAGGTCATGGAGACCCCCTCCTCCACAGCCCTTCCCCGGGCTCCTGCTCACGATGGCCTCCTGGCTTGGCCTCGCCTGGCTCTGGCATTGGGGCCCTGCTGGAAGCCTGCAGCTCATGCTGTCTGCCTTATTTCCTTGTCCTCTGCCTTCCCTGGCTCACCCACAGACTTTGCCTCAGAAGCGGGTGGAACCCGCTTTCTCATCTCTCCCTTGGGGCGCAGGCAGTGTGTGTACTAGGTGGCTGACCACGAACCCTTTATCAGGACTCCAGATTGCATCCCA